AGAGAGCAATCCAATAGATAGGCTGCCATTATCTCTTACTGGTAGCAAATTTCCCATTATTTCCTAACATTCACGTGAGCAAAGATCAGCACGCACTAAATCCAATGCCAGCGTGGTTCAATTTCCATGTCTTAAAATTGGTCTAAATATCATGCTGAATGTCAAAAGTCTCATCCTAGAAAACTAAAATTTATCATTTATCATCAGCACCTAGTACATAAAAGAGCACCCATGTACCATATAACATTGTATGTAACAGACAATCAAGTATTTTTCAACTTATAGATATTGAAGAGTTGCTGAGCATATACTATATGTCAGGTAGTATGCTAAACACGGACTAGAATAGTGAGCAGAACCAAGTCCCTGTCCACATGAATTTATACTCTAATAGGGAAGACAAACTAACATATGCCACATGGTAATAAAGACAATTTTAAAAAATTAAGCAAGGTAAAGGGGTAGGGTATTTACTGACTGGAAGGAGCCACAAGAGAGCCTTCTGAAATAATGATGAAAATGTTCTATACCTAGCTTGATCTTAGTGGTAGTGTACTCACTGAGTTGCACACTTAGGCTTTATGTAATCTGCTATATATAGATTATATTTCTAAGTGTTATTTTGAACTTGCTAAAAGGCCAACCCCTGCACCCTATGTTCACTGCAGCATTACATACAACAGCCAACATACAGAAGTAACTCAAGTGCCCATCAACAGACAAGTGGACAATAAAGCTGTGGTACATATATACAATGGAATATTTACTCAGTCTTAAAAAACAATGAAATCTTACCATTTGTCATAGCATGGAAGAACCTAGATAGTATTATGGCCAGTGAAAGACAAAGACCATAATATTTCACTTATATGTGGAATCTAAAGAACAGAATGAATGAACAAACAAAATTGAAACAGACTCATAGAGAAAGCAGACTGACCAGTGATTGACAGAGGGAAGGGGGGTTGGGGGACTGGGTAAAAGAGGCGAAAGGATTAAGAAGTACAAGTTAGCCGTTACAAATCAGTCACAGGGATAGAGTGCAGCATAGGGAATATAGTCAATAATACTGAAATACTATTATTATTAATAAATAATACTGCAATACTACTACTAATAATAAGTAATAATATTGTAATATTGTATGGTGCCAGATGGGTACTGGAAATATTAGGGGAAACACTTTGTAAAGTATATGACTGTCTAACCACTCTGCTTATACCTGAAACCAATACAAAATAATATTGAAAGTAAACTGTAATAGGAAAATTTGAAAAATAAATACTAACAAAAAGAATTTTAAAAATTTTTAAAAATAAAAAATAAAAGACCAACCCCACCTAGCTCCAATGATGATTACCTCTTGATTACCACAATTATTAATACATTTCTAGGTTTAGGGACTAAATCCTCATAGCTAAATAAAATATACTTCCTGGAATCACCTACATGATTTTAAGATTCATTATATATATTTAACTTTACAATTGTAATACATTTACTTCTATTACCCCACAGCTCTACTCTTCAAGCTAATCACTGAATAAGCACCTGCCGCATATACACAAGGGAAGGCGAAAGAAACCAAAGTCTCGCCTATAACGGCAGTAAAAGGTAAAAAATAGAATGGTTCTAAAATGGAGTTGTATAACTAATTATGCATGATAAACATACAAATATAAAATGGACTATGTCTTTAAAAAAAAACTGTATTTAACCATTATTGCTTCCTTTCCCCAGTGATCCAAAACCCCAGAGTTTGTTTTAGAGACAAATGTAATGAAAGTAAGAACTGTGCACTCAAAATATCCCAAGATCCATTAAGAGAAAAGTTCAGCACTGTGACCAAAAGTCCAGGGGTGTGGTGGAGTGATGGGACCAAAAGCCCATCACTCCACCACACCCCTCCCTGCAAGGAAGAAACACTCTGCAGAAAAAAAAAATCAGAGAAAATAATAGGAGAGCCAGAAGAGCAGTCTCAGTGGAATGGAGTGCTAAGGGTTACTGTAGCTAAATTAAACATAGGCTACCATCTTTTTGAGGAGGAAGAAATTAGTAGGCCAAACACTGAAAAGGTCTAATTGGATTTAGGATACTCTAGGCAGAAAGAACATAAACAAATGCACAGTAGTTAAAAAAAAAATGACAGCCCCGAATAGGTGAAGCCATAGAGACAGCAAGCCAAACTGGTGGCTGCCAGAGGCTTGTGGGAGGAGAAAATGTGAAGTGACTGCTGATGTGTTCAAATTTTTTCTTGTAAGGTCTTGAATATTTTTTCTTGAGAATATTTTGGAACTTGATAAAAGTGGTGGCTACATATTGTGAATGTAAACATGCTACTGAATTACACAGTTTAAAGTGGTTAATTTGTTAAGTCAATTTCATCTCAATTTTTAAGTGCATTAGCCTCATATAAAAAAGTGAATACAGGCTTTCTAGATCATGGCACAAACCCTAACTTCCTGCCGTCCAAGTACTGCCCTGGGTTAAATTACAGGTTACCCACTAGTTGTGATACTAAGCCTACAATATTCATGAACCTCACCAGGTTACATTAATTTTCTGCCTTAAAATAGCTAGTCTACAACTCCTACCCTCCTATTCTCTCTCTCTGTCTCTCTCTTTCTCCAAATAAAATACCCCATACCAACCATAATTCTAGGTCATCTTCTACCCCTCTCTCATTTTTAAATATTTTTTAGTATTCAATCCAAAAATAAAGGGATTACAGAACCATCTCAAGAGAGAGTGTTTTCAAAAACCTCCAAGAAAAACCTTCCCTAAATAGCGGTAACAGCCAATCAATCTACCTCAGGAAATAAATCTTTTTGCTTATACAGGGTGGGGCAAAGACAGGTTTACAGTGGTTCATATGGAAAATAATACAATAACTAATAAATAATACAAGAATAAACTTTTGCATACTCACAAATGTAAACCTACTTTTGCTGCAAATTCTCACTGCCCTCCCCAACACATAAATCTATAGTATGACTATTTTAATCTATTTCCTTTTCAAATATAGTTAACACTTCTCTAATCAAGAAGACTTCTAGAAACAGCAAGCTTAGAAAATCAAAACCCTGGAGACAGAGAGAAAATAATTATTAACAGCTAACATGCATTGGAATCTACCTACTCTGTGCCAAGCTGTGTTTTTCATGCATTACAGCATTTAACCTCCTTAATGACTCTGGGAGGTAAGTACTATTATAATCATTTTAAAGATAAATGAAGAAAGCCAAGTTCTGAAAACAAGTCATTTAATCAGGTTCAGAGTCAGTAATTTTTGGAATGGAGATTCTAAAGCAATCTAACATACAGATCTCTGCATTTCTTAAGTGAAATAGCAGTAGAAAACCATATACATCACAGACTAAGCTTTATGGAAGCAATCCCCCAGATCTTCCCTACAACCTACAGTACCGATTAAAATTATCAATCTCATTCAGAGCACAAGTCTAATAATTGTTGATATGGATTTCCCCCGTTCACAGTTACTCAGGTGCAGCATATTTGCAGGAACAAGTGGTATTACTACTAGGACCCACCACACTAATGAGTTGTTGGGATCAGAGGGGAGACAAATGCACACACAAGGAAAAAAAGAAAATGATTATTAAAAAACTACTTCATAATCACATTAAATAGCCCTCAGCCGTTGTATTTTAGAATGCAGCTGTTTCTGTATCCTTCAGTAGAACAGAGTAACATTCATGACAATGATAAGAGAGGTCCTCTTATAACGTCATTTCATTATAACATTAATGAGCTTCCACAGGAACTTAAAAATTGTTTATATCAATTGTCCTATGGTTAAATTGGTTTCCTTATACATAATTTTGCTTAAAGTAGTAGAACCAATCAACAACATTAAGTGGGAACTTACTGTATTATAAAATGGTACCAAAAGTCATATTCATCCATTATTTAAAATACAGATTTTAGAACAATTCCTACAAAAAGTTTGAAATCATTTTTCTAGAAAGTTCAAGATGATAGTATTTCTCCATCTCTCAGGTTATTTCCTCATCCCTCAATTCAATCTCTTATTCTCTCCTCTTTTTCCTTAGAACATAAACATTCTCAAATCCCTATGTTTTTGTCCACTTCTAACTTGCACTCCCCACCTTAATAGGCAAGCTTCTCAAAGAGTAGCCAACACTCATTATCTTCTACTTCCCCATCTCCATCCTCTCTGCTAGAGCTTCTGTACCCAGCTTCCCAGTTAAGTTGTTCTTGCTAAAGTCACCAATGCCTCCCTATTCCTAAATCTAATGAACAATTTTCAGGTCTTATTTGTCCTTTTGAGCAGGATTTAACATTTCAGATCTCTTCCTCCCCTTCCCTCCTCTTTTAAATTCTGGTCAGTTACCTCCTACACTGCCACTCTTCTGTTTTCCCTCTTCTTACTACTTTTTTATCCATTTTCCTGCCTGTCCCACAAAAGGTGGAGGGTCCCTGGCTGCCTTCTCTTTTGTTAAGAATTCTCAAAAGATGATCTCAACCTCTACTCTACCATGCTATATACTATTACTTCTAACTCTCTAGCCCACTTAACTACCCTAGCAGCTTTCCAATACCTCTCCCAAGCATCTCTGCTGGAGTATTTCCGGGCCCCTCAACATCAACATAGCTACAACTGAACTGATCTTTGAAAGCCAAAGAATACAGCCTTGGAAAGTGAAGATGTACAGGAAGTTTTATTTTGGTAGGAGCGGGGAAATTTCCCTATTTTAGTAAAAATCTTTATCCACACAGTTTTTCCACCCAAACAGCTGGGGGTCATTCCTGACTCCTTACTTCTCTTGACCTGAACAGCCAAATAAATCATCAAATACCAAAAGAGGATTGTAAAACCTTAATCTCTTCAAGTCCCCTCCCCTTCTCTTTACTCCCCCATCGTTTCTCAGCAATAGCTTCTTTAGGCTTTTGCACAATACTCATAATCGCTTGTGACTATAATACTTATCACATAACATGCATATTTCTCCATTAACCTGCAAACTTAGTGACAGGAAACCGTGTCTTGTTCTTTTTATCCAATGTACCTAGGAACACATAAAAATAAACATAAGTCTGGTGAGTAATTCCAAGAAGCTAAAACCTCAAAAATGTACAATTTATTAACAGTAGAGTAGGAATTTATGTGTAGTTTTAACTTGCCAGCATTTTTCAATATTGAAGTGCCATCTTAGAACACCAATAGCAGCAAATCAGTAACATTCTGCATATTCAATGTAACAAAATATTCGTATCCTATGTTTCTATGTACATTTCACATTTTCTACAATGACCACTTTCATAATTGGTGAGGGAACAGTATTTTTAGAGCAAAATGCCACAATCAACACAAATGAAAAATCTTTTGTTTTTAGGACAATTATGTTGTGAAACTGGAACTGGGGTGGGGTGGATGCATCAAGAACCTAAGAGAATAGATTTTTGTTTTTTTCTCAGTGCTGCTTCCAGCCCTGCCGCTTCCCTTTGGTCAGATTCTCCAGCTTATCTCACAGCATGGCTCCCACAAGCCAGTCTTCACTCCCACCCCTCGCGAAGACACTGAGACCTCCTCCTGCCCTCAAGCCAGAGAAGAAGCCAACCTCTCACGACTTGCCAAAGGAAGAAAAAGAACAGCAATTGAACATATTGATGAAGTACAAAATGAAACAGACAGACTTAATGAACAAGCCAGTGAGGAGATTTTGAAAGTAGAACAGATATATAACAAACTCCGCCAACGATTTTTTCAGAAGAGGTCAGAATTGATCACCAAAATCCCAAATTTGGGGGTAACAACATTTGTCAACCATCCACAAGTGTCTGCACTGCTTGGGGAAGAGGATGAAGAGGCACTGCATTATTTGACAAGAGTTGAAGTGACAGAATTTGAAGATATTAAATCAGGTTACAGAATAGATTTTTATTTTGATGAAAAACCTTACTTAGAAAATAAAGTTCTCTCCAAAGAATTTCATCTGAATGAGAGTGGTGATCCATCGTCAAAGTCCACTGAAATCAAATGGAAATCTGGAAAGGATTTGACGAAACGTTCAAGTCAAACACAGAATAAAGCCAGCAGGAAGAGACAGCATGAGGAACCAGAAAGCTTTTTTACCTGGTTCACTGACCATTCTGATGCAGATGCAAATAAGTTAGGATAAGTAATCAAAGATGGTATCTGGCCAAATCCATTACGGTACTACTTGCATCCCCGACATGGATGACAAAGAAGGGGAAGGAGAAGATGATGATGATGAGGATGAAGGTGAAGAAGATGAAGATGACGATGAGGGGGAGGAAGGAGAGGAAGATGAAGGAGAAGATGACTAATGGAACTCTGATGGATTCCAATCTTCTTTTTTAATTTTCGCCAGTCTCTGGGAGCAAGCTGCAGCCTCCCCCTCCCCACCCCGCCCTTGTGCTCCGTCTCCCTGTTTTTTAAGTCTCTTTTCTATCCTTTACACCATGGTTCTCACCTTATTTGGGGGGGATGTACCTTGAGCAGAATACAGTGGGAAAAGAATCTCTGCCCCTTTCTGTTCAAAATTCATTTTTTAGCCCTTCCTATCTTGACAAAAACTTTATGGAATAAACACCACCATGCTCTGTGGGAAAAAAGAAAAACCTTCTGCTTCCTTAGCTCTGCTGGAAGCTGGAGGGTCCTAGGCCCCTGTGTGGTTGTGCATAGAATTCTAGTTTTTTCCCTCCTTTCTCTGTATATTGGGCTCAGAGATTACACTGTGTCTCTATGTGAATATGGACAGTTAGCATTTACCAACATGTATCTGTCTACTTTCTCTTGTTTAAAAAAAAAGAAAAAACATAAAGAAAAGGGGGTTATAGAAGGTCAGCAAAGGCTGGGTTTGAGATGTTGGGTGGGTTGTGGGCATTTTGACAACATGGCTTCTCCTTTGGCATGTTTAATTGTGATGTTTAACGGACATCCTTGCAATTCAAAATGACCCTTTTGAAATAAAATTATCTCCTGATGATGACTTGAGCCCTGCCACTAAGTGGGAGAATCAGCAGAACCTGTAGGATCTTATTCGGAATTGACATTTCTCTATTGTAATTTTATTGTTTATTTTTGAATTTTCTTGTTTCGCTGGAAAGGAAAGACGATGCTCAGTTTTAAACGTTAAAAGTGTACAAGTTGCTTTGTTACAATAAAACTAAATGTGTACACACACACACACACACACACACACACACACACACCCCCCACTAAGAGAATATACCAAAAAAGGGATACTGCTTTCAATGAAGTTAAGCTCACTTGGTAACTGTATTTAGTTGTAGTTTCATCCCTGTCAGTCTATGACTTGCATGAAAGTGGATCTTTCCACTTTCAACATGCAAGCAAAGTTACTGGCTGGCTAATAATGGAAGGGACATATTTGAAAACTTATACTCAAATTCACTTTCCAGATTTATATTTTTTTCTTATATTTTTTTCAGTCATAAAAATATGAGGAAAATATAAGTGAATATTTGTATCAACACTTCTCAAAGTGTAGTCTGAATCTCTGAACCCTTTCAGAAGCCCAAATTTATTTTCATAACAATAAGATGACATTTGTATTTTCATTCCCATTCTCTGAAATACACAAGAGTTCTCCAGAGGTGAGAATGTCCTGTGATAAATACTGCAAGAGTTTAATGCATCCTGTGATAAATATCTCAAGAGTTTAACAGCAGAGGCAGATGTGAGAATCCAGCTACCTTCTATTAAGCCAAAGGTATCTGCAAAAATGTATAAATTCTCAATAATCTTTTTATTTGGGAAAATGTGAGTTTTTCATTAAAAATGTTCATATTAACATGTAAGGGACTTATTTCTTAATAAATTAATAAGTATTTATAAATCTCAGTTTTAACTTCTAGTGTGGCAAATGTCTACTGATGTAACCCACAGGAAAAAGAGCTCTTTGTGGTTCTCAAGAGTTATTAAGAGTATAAAGGGGTCCTGAGACCAAAAGTACAAGCACTGCCGATTTATATAGTTTAAGGAGGGGCAAGCTTCTTTAAGCATGAGCCCAAAGCAAGAAAGCCAACCAATAAATATGTTGACAAATATTTTAAACTTCTATCATCCAAAAATAAACACAAGCAAAATACAAGAAAAACTGACAAGTCAGGGGAAATACCAAATACAGCAATGGGTTCATAATATTTACACATGAAGAGGTCTTTCACATCTCTAAGGAAAAGACAAATATCCCCCAGTAGGAATGGACACACAAAAACTAATGGGGAAACAGTAGAATATACAAAGACTAATATACATGTAGAAAAATAACCCTCAAACTTATCAGTTTTCAAAGCAATGAAAATTAAAACTGATTAAATCAGCAATGGTGTGCCAAATTCAGTAAGAATGCAGGGAAACAAGTGCCCATATAAATTACTGTTATGAACATAAACAGTTACAGCCTATCTGGAAGGCAATCCAGAAACATGGATCATAAATCTTTTTTTTCTTTTTTAAGATTTTATTTATTTATTTTTAGAGAAGAGAAGGGAGGGAGAAGAGGGGAAGAGGGGGAGAACCATCAATGTGTGGTTGCCTCTTGCGTGCCCGCACTGGGCCCATGGCCAGCAACCCAGGCATGTGCTCTGGAGTGGGAATCAAACCGGCGACCCTTTGGTTCGCAGGCCGGTGCTCAGTCCACTGAGCCACACCAGCTAGGGCTGAATCAGTTATCTTAGAAGTGTATCTTCTCCCCAACCTCCAATCCTATCCTAACTCCATAAAAATATATACAAAGTCTGCTACAATATTCACCAAAGCATTATTTATAATTGCAAAACAGACACTAGAAACAAATGTCTACTAAGGAGACGGCTGAATATATTATAGCATCCCATGTAGTGTGAACTACTTCTTATCTGGTGATTTAAAATTTTGTACATGGAAAAGTATCTTTGATATACTAGGTCAGAAAAAGGCAGTTAAACCATCTCAGTAGAAGACAATACACCTATGTGCAAAGAATTAGGATGTGCCAGGAATTCAAGTTATGTGCTAGGTATTTCATATGCCTTATCACTTTTAATTTTCAAAACTATATGATATAGGGTGCCCTCCATAAACCCCTGTTCTCTCAGAACCTGCAAAACTGAAATAAGTAATTTGCCCCAAAACCATGAGAACCTGATTTCACAAAACCATCAGATACTGGAGGCCATACTTGATTCTAGGTCTCACACTCAAACTACATTTTGTTAAATATCACCTGTAAACCAAAATGTTAACAGTGAGTCAATATGACTATCTCCTCTCCACAGCTACCTTTCTTCTTCTTCCTCTTTTTCTTCCCCTTAATGTTATATTTCTTTCTATAATAAACATAGTTTACTTTTTTTAATTTAACAAGGGCATTCTTATTTTGAAATACTCTAATTCAAAAGCCAAAGATTCCATGTGGGGAGAAAAACTTTAGAGCACAACTTTCAAATTCAGTACATCTTGTGATTTAACATTATCTACAGGCAAATTAAAAACAAACAATATCAACTTCTTTTGCGAAGTTTTACAGAAAGTATATGGATTTTAACATCAACAGACCTGGTTTAAAAATTAATTTTTAAAAATTAAATAATTAAATAATCAAATAAAATTAACTAATATCCACAATAAACTGTGAACCTTAAAGCAAATTTTTTAACCTCTCTGAAACTCAACTTTCTTATTTGTAAAATACTGATAATAATTCCTACCTCACAGGGTTATTATAAACACTGTGTTAAAAAGAATAAACCAGATAGCTTTTCTGGTTGCAGCCAAGATGGAGGCATACACAGATATTCTTCACCTCCTCACACAAGCAAAAGAAGGAAACAACCAATTTAAAAACAAAGAACAACCAGAACTGGGAGAAAATTGAACTGTGTGGAAGTCCGACAACCCAGGAGTTAAAAAAGAAACACTTATCCAGAATGGCAGAAAGTACAAAGACAGGCAGCTGGGGCAAAGAGGACTCAAGTGAGGCAGTGGCTGATGGAACAAGTGGTCCTTCATTCAAACTGGGGGGAACAACTCGGAAGT